TTATATTTATATGTAATAGATTGCATTTCATGTACTGGTGTAACAAACGGAGAATTTCGTTTGCTCTTGCATACAGTTTTTTTCTACATTCATCTACTACGAATATGTTTGTGTCATCTGCAAATAGTATGAACTTGCCCAGATCAGTTGTTCTAAATAAGTCGTTAACATATATTATAAATAGCAAGGGTCCGAGACAAGAGCCTTGGGGAACTCCAAAGAGAACAGGCAGCTTGTCAGACTCTTCGCCCAGTACAGAGACATATTGATATCTATTAGAGAGATAACTAGCGATGAGTCTATTGGCGTTTCCACGTATTACTTAAAGAGTAGTAAGTAGTTTATAGTTATAGTTTAGTAGTTTAGTCTAGGAGTTCCCGCTTCCTCTTTCACTTTCATTTATAGTTTCACGTGGATTACCTTTCACTTTACTCACGGTAGTTTTCCCCCAGGGTTTTTATTATAGTTATCAGTTCCAGTTTAGTTGAAGTCCTCATCATTAAGAAGTCCCTCATATAGTAAGAAGAACATCATCATCAGAGTAGTAGTTTTAATTTAATAGTTGTTTAATCTAATAGTAAAAAGACATTATTTAGTTTAGTATTGAATTGTGTATTAGTTAGAGCAGTGTGAGTAACTGAGTCACACCAATCACCTTTTAATCACTCATACACTATTTGAGGGTGAGTACATAGAGTAACAAGGTTACATTTGAAACACCATTTATTTGTATAACCTCTTTATTCATCTAATTTGTATTTATAATAATTGAGTATTATTTGTTATTTAATTAACCCAAGAGCAGGGTTCCAACAGAACCCTCTAAAACACGTAAATAGTTACTGGGCCGCGCTCAATCTCTATTCTGGACATGATCCCAGCAATCCTTACTGGCTAGCGATATTACTACAGGGTGATCGCCTTTTCACAGCATGTTGAACTCCGCGCGCGCTCGCTAGTTCATTGCATTTGCACGCTTCAAATATTCTAAGAACGCAATTGTACCGCGTACCACGTGATACGATTCAGCCAATCAGAGAACAACAATCTGCAAAGTTAAAGCTACCCAGTTATATAAGGCCTAAAATATGACTTTTCGCAATAATTCAAAATCTACGTTGTTTTCAATTTTCCCCCTGGGGGAAACGTTATTTTTGCGAAACGAACATTTTGCAAAAAACCGGAAGACTAGACGCTATCTCTTTTACTTTCAAAGTTAGGCTCCAGCCAGTAAGGTTTCTTGGGATAGCCTGAGGTCCCCAGGTAAGCCCGAAGTGGCGCGAAAGCACATGGTTAGGCGAAGTTTGTGGCAGTTGCTTTGCACTTTCAACTTTGCTCCTCCTGTGCGTAGGAGGAGCAAAGTTGAAAATGCAAAGCAACTGCCACAAACTTCGCCTAACCATGTGCTTTCTTGTAGGTTCACAACCTTCCAGGACGCGCACCGATTTGGACTCGTCGACGGTCCAATATATGGAACAGATATTTTACGAGTATCACCCGTTAATGTGCTTTCGCGCCACTTCGGGCTTACATGGGGACCCCAGGTTATAATGTTTCGCCGAATAGAAATTCGGAAATATTATCTCTGATATTGGGATACGAAACATGTATCTATAAATATACTAAATTGTTCTTAACGGGTGATTCTCGTAAAATATTTGTTTCAAATTACAAAACCGTCGACTACTTCAACTCGGCACGCATCTTGTATTAGTTTACCTTGGGATCCCAGGCTATTATGTTAATAAAAATAGCCTGGCGTAATTGAACCCTCTAAAACGCGTAAATAGTTACTGGGCCGCGCTCAGTCTGTCATTCCGCCGAATTTCTATTCTGAACATGATAGCCTGAGGTCCCCAGGTAAGCCCGAAGTGGCGCGAAAGCACATGGTTAGGCGAAATTTGTGGCAGTTGCTTTGCACTTTCAACTTTGCTAATCATGTGCGTATAGCTTGACCGTTCATGGCTCCGCGCACAAATGCCGCCCATGTTGATCCTTAGTGACCTTACTCCATAAATTTCACCTGGGGACCTCAGGTTATTATGTTCCGCCGAATATGGAAGAGACAGGCTGAGCGCGGCCCAGTAACATAAATTATAAAATTATTTTGTGCTATATCCTGAATTAAATTATTGTTGCATTGTGTGTAATTGGTGCGCAGCGCTGAAATGATAAATTGTTAAATGTACTCAGTACTGGGTTATATAGTCCATTGACAATGATACAATTTAAATGATAAAGGTTATTCCAATTGTATGTTAAAAATATGCTAAATTGTTTTAAACGGGTGATTCTCGTGAAATATTTGTTTCAAATCACAAGACCGTTGAAGAGTTCAACTCGGCGCGCGTCTTGTATTCGTTAACCTGGGGACCCCAGGCTATTATGTTCATAAACATAGCCTGGCGTAATTTAACGGGTGATACTCGTAAAATATCTGTTCCATCGACGAGTTTGACCATTGTTAATGATCTGGCCCAGCGCGCGCTATTTCGTAGCACTTGCCATCGAGAAGAAAGCGGCGCGCTACTTCGAATAAATGTAGACGAGTAACATCAATCAATCGACGAGTCCAACTTGGCGCGCGTGCTGGTAGGTTGCAAACCTACAAGGCGCAATCGAACCCTCTAAAACGCGCAAACAGGCGCGTTTATGCAATTTTACAATCAAATCATCAGATTTTACAATCTAACTCAGCGCGCGGCTCTTGTAGCGAGCTTGACCATTGTTAATGGTCTGGCCCGGCGCGCGCTACTTCGTAGCACTTGCCATCGGGCCATTTCGAGAAGAAAGCGGCGCGCGCTACTTCGAAGAAATTTAGACGAGTTACATCCGTCAATTGTAGCGCATACGTCAATCCTTTTTTGTTTTTTATTGGCGGCTGTAATTGGTTCTGAACGATCACGTGAATGCGAGTCACGTGCGCTCTAACATCCAATGACCATTTGCATTTTTTCAGGGCGATGGAGGTCGTAATTCACTCAGCCCGAATAAAAATTCGGCGGAATGACAGGCTGAGCGCCGCCCAATAACTATCGGTAGGTTATAAACATACAATAGTGTATAGATACAGTGTATTTTAACATTCGACATTCAAAATTATTCAGTACCCACCTTGTTTTGTGAAAGTGACCCTTTGACTTCCAGATCGTTGCTCTGCGATTTAACAAAGCAAAGATCTCGTCGGTGAACGATATCGTCAGTCAACGATCTCGTCAGTCAACGATATCGTCAGTCAACAATCTCGTCAGTCAACAATCTCGTCAGTCAACAATCTCGTCAGTCAACGATCTCGTCAGTCAACGATCTCGTCAGTCAACTTCGATGCGAAGAAAGAATGATAGTTTTTGCGGCGCATCGAAGCGGCGAAATCCTCCAACCCAGCTTGCTGGTCCATTTTTATTTATTTATTACAATGCATTTAATTACAATACATGGCTAACGAATTTTTTTGGAGATGAAAGGGAAATACATTTTTTAGGCGGCGCTAAGCCTGTTATTCCGCCGTAGTTTTCTGCTTTCTCTTTATGAACAGAAAATTATTGAGGTCTATTGGGAAAAAACAAAAGTGCGCACTCATAGGTAGTGAGATGACGCGCAAAATCTTATTGCTATAAACATTTAGATGTGTTCGAAGTCTTCCTTCGATTGATTGATTTTAAATCGTAAAAAAGACTCTCGTGACTGTGAAATCTTGAGTCGTGTCATTTGTTGCTTCTAGCGTTTTCTGAGTTTTTACCTTGTACGGTGCAGTGTGCACCCCTATTGGATATGGAAATAATCTTGATATGTGACGGTTTACTATTTCGTGTGTTTGAATGAAGGTTATCATTCCCATGCTTAACTTAAAATGTTATTCTTGTCTCATCAATTCATAGAGGAAATCCAGAACTGCTTTTTGTTGTGATGTGAATTTGTGGATTTTATTTTTAGTTGACCATTTTTATATTACGAAGGGTTATATTTTTTACCCAGTTTTTTAAAATTTGTACCTTTTTTTAGCATTTAATCTATTGAAGAGTTTTTGATGTAAGTGTCAAATCTATGCCATATTATTTCATATTCTAAAGTAACATCACATGATTGTTGTTAGCTATCCAGAACTGTTATAAATCAGATCACGTGTACATCGTTCCTTTTTTTACGACACAGTAATTTATTGACACTCACATCTAAAATTTTAACCATTGAATCAGTATTTTTATCTGTGCTCTGCGAATGCATCACATGAATCAGTTTTTTAATCTATTAACTTATTACACATTTGTGCTCTGCTTTAGCATCACTTGACTATTTTAAAAAAATTGTTTGTTCAGGCCATGACCTTATAGTCAGCCAATTGGCCATTGCTATATTATGTGTATATTGTTTGAAAAAAAAAAAAAAAAAAGAACTGTTATAAACTCAAATCGGTTGCTCTTACAAAGATAAAATATATTATTTCTGCTCTAAATGACGTGTACTGAAGCCCTCCTCTCCATAAGCCACTTTAAACATAGCAATTGCAATTTCCGACATTTCAAATTTGGCCCAACAGCCCTAGTTCAAATTAGCAACTTCTTCTCTGCTAAATATGGATGGAATAATCTTTATAGTAAAATATATATATATATGGAATAATCTTTATGATTACTCTTGTTCTCCTCTTATCACCTCATCAAACACTTACCAATGATGATGATTAGAACAAATTCCATCAAGGGTACAATTCTTCTACAAAATATTGTAGATTTATCTTAAAATCGAAAAGCTTTACTTAGTTTCCTTAATTTAGAGCGTTTGATGGTGTTCTACAAAAATGAGATCATCCTGTTAAAATGTTGAATGCCACTTGATCTTTAGTTAAATGTCGTATTTAGTTGTACCAAAAAGCCAGCTTACACAAAACATCTGACATTGAAAGAATTTATAAGAAAGGGTTAAAACTGTAAGGAGATTTCAAACACCAACAATCTCTGTTCTTGGAGATTCTACCATTTTCCCCTCCCCTGTTTAAAACTTATATAATAAATGTAAACTGTTCAGGGTGGATGTATTGATGATATTGGCCAGATAATAGTGCCTTCTTCTTAGCCTGTAAGTACAAGTTATCATTATTATTCTTACTGTGTAACTTTTAATCCAAGGCATATTGTTTTCATATCAAGTGGGTTTGATCCAAATACAAGATTACCATGGCCATGGTGTGGCACGTTCTACTTCTCACTTATAAATATAACCATGACCAAAAATACTTATCATTTCTGGACCAGATATAACCTAATTTAAACATTTTCTTGACAGATTCTCACAGTTAGGGCTTGGTCAATTTGAAAATGATCATAGGTAAAGTGAACAAATTGACCATGACTGGATAGCTCATCATAAATCTTAACACTTTTCCGACGTCCATGGACGGTATCGGTTACTGAAGAATGGAAATTGTGTTTGGTCAGCAATCATGATTTTTAAATATCCAAATTGTTAATCATTTACTAATCCGATAATGACAATTTCAGGCGATTGGTAGTATGGCATCAGATAAACATTTTCTATATCACCTTATTATAAGGTTAGTACTTCTTATAGGATTTCTTAGAATATTACCAAGTTCTGGGGACTACAAACCCCCTATAGCCAGTTTCAAGCTTGTTGTGTTGATTATTATCATAGTGAGCTGTAAAATAAATCAATCAAGAAATATCATTAACTAAACTTATCCAACTACTATAACATAGCTTGACAATGTTTCGCTAAATACTCTAAAATCAACACAATATTACAAATAGTAGCACATACATAAAATGTAACTTGAACTTATTTGAGCACTGATCTTTTTGGAATTGGCGACCTTTATACCGTTAATCGTTAAATACTCATTTATACGTTAATAATAATGATTAAAATTTAATTAATTTCAGTCAGTTGTATCACGACGGGTTTGGGCCACATGCTAGTTTATTGGAACAGGCAGCACTGAACACCAATCGTGCTGTGGGACCATCTGACAGGCTTAAGCAGATGTTATCATTGTGCGCACACACAGTTAGAGAGGTTGACAACTACTTCGACGACAAATTCTCCACTCAGCCATGTACGTATTTTAATTTTAGTAATATTATCTTTGGTAATGCTTGTTTCTACACCTAAGTTCTAGAAGGCACCCCACAATTTAATAAGATTTGGCACCTCTTTCTATCCCATGATGTAACAACTATAATTAGTCAACAATATAGAGTTTATGTTCTTCAAAACCGTAATTATATATTTTGTGCCTAATTACTTTGCTCAACAATAAACATCTTCTGCGGAACATCTCAGAAATGTTTGGTGTTTAAATAGCGCTCCCAGTGCCGTACTATTCCCACTATTGCACAATACTCGAGATATTTTAATTGTTACGTGAGGACGTGACCCCCGGGCCCCGCCTCATTGTGATGTTGAGAACGTGGCCGAGAGCGGAGAGCGGAGAGCCTATAGTAAAGTTGAAGAGGCCATTTATAATAGCACAGTATGTAGTAAAATTATTGTACGTGACCGACTCTCGCTCTATGTTAATGAATAAAAGCACGTTGCAACAGCAATATAATGCATTAATGCAGTCTGTACAGAGTCGGGCAGGAGGAGTACTTTTGTCATTTAATGAGCTGGTAAATAGACGTGGTCTGAAATATCTATTATCGTATGAATGTGTATAGCGCGAGTTCAGTTATAAACATGGACAAGAGCAGCATTGGATGGAAAATATATGGTATTTAGGCTAATGTATCATGACTAGTTTTAGTATCTTATTTTAACATGCTAGCACTGTAGAGTATGTACAGACAGGCTAATATTAACTCCTTTCAGTTCAAGAGGATGTTGTCAAATCTACAAGCTACGTTCCAGCTGAAAGAATGGTCAGAAGTAACACACCTTCCCACTTCCACACATTTGCCAGGAGGCGCCTCACGGCCGCTAAGAGGCATTCTTTCATGAGCATGAACAGAGCCAAACAGCTGAAATCGAGCCCTAAAACCCTATTCTCCAATACCTGCCCAAAGACCAGCCATGTTCCCATAATCTACTCCTCTGCATCGGAGAGTCCGGTAGTTCATGACACACAAAATAGCCTGCAAGGGTTGTTCAATTCTGCTAACCAGGGTTCCGGCGGCATGTTTGTCAACGACGTGGAGAAAGCTAAATCAGCTGAAGCTGTCAGAGTCCTTCAGAACATATTCCAGCAGAAGCGTGACATGTTACCAACTGTAACCAGCGTGGAAACTGTTCAATCCGAGATCAGCCAGGACCTGAACACTCTAATAAACGCAACAACCAGTGCGCTCAGTCAAAGTTCCACCTCTCCCACAACATCTCAACATTCCCTGACAGGATCTCCCAAACAAAACAGCCCCCACACTCCAGATCACATGGACCTGACCACCTCCCCAGTTTCCGGATCAAACAGATCCGCTTTTTCACCGCCGACCCGCACTTCCAATGCTAACTCGGTTGTGGAGAGTATGGTGACGGACACGGAGCCTCCAGAAATGATGGAGAAAAGTGGGAATGTGCCGAGTGAGGATCAAAGATTGAGCCCTGATGTTGTGAGTTCTACAGCCAGCCAATTTCTCCAGGAACCAGTGGTCGAGAAACATCCGACTAGCCCTGAAGTGCTGAACCTGAAAGAAGAAGCAGAGGATGCTGACTGTATAGATGGAGTGGATGCAGGGAAGATTTACCCCCCTGCTTCACAAGACATCATTGATCAGCTGAACTCCCTGTCAGCCTCCGGTATAGGCAACATACAGAACCTGGCAAACTCGCTTACCAGCAGTTTTTGTGATACAACGCTTAGTGAGGGTAATCTAGCAAGCCTCTCAACCCTTTCAATGGAATCCCTGGCCTCTTCCCTCAACCTATCTGTAGCTAACGTGACGGGTCTGGATGGACAGAACGTGCCGACGTCCCGCGCTGGTGGTGGTTACACTGGATCTGGTAACAAACTGGACTTTCTCAGCCGACTAGAGGGAGACAGTCCCAGCATGCTGAGTATGATGAGCTCCCAGAACAGAGCCTCCAGTTCTAGCACCACCCCACCAACACCAGGTACATTTGATTACAGTTACCTTGACACTTGAACAGCACTGATCTTTCTTATAAAACAATTGAATTTGAGTTTCGTTTCTTTAAAGTAGTACATAATACATGTCAAGAATCAAAATGTTTAATAGTTATTATCTAGAATGTAATTAGCACTAATTAGAATGTAATTAGTACTAATTAGCATTATAGGCCAACTAGACTAAAGCTCAATGGGACACGCGTCACACATGTTCGCTCTATAATATAACCAGGGTCACATAAACACACGGTACTCACATGGTACACTGTACAGCTCACATGATCCCTCATCATTGTAACCTCCACCTTGTAGTTTGTAGTTCACAGTAGAACCTGTTAGTTCATTATACCGCAAACCTGTTCTTTGTGCCTAGTCCTCATACCAAACTGTTCTTTGTGCCTGTCCTCATACCAAACTATTCTTTGTGCCTGTACTCCGACCAAACTGTTCTTTGTACATGTCCTCTGTGTTGAATTGTCGTAGCATAATAATACAGCCGTGTTAACTATGATGATGTTGTTTTTTGCACTCCCGTGTAGCCCCACAGAAAGCAAAAACGACAAGTTTAGATAATGTAAATGTGTCTGTGTTTCATAATTGATTGTAAACTTTAGATCAATGTCCACTACTATTTTGTGTGTGTTGACGTATGATACTGAATTATCTCTGTGCGATAAATTAAAAATGTATGTGTTAAAAGTCGAGCCTCACTTTTTCCGTAGAAAAATTGAGGCTCGGGTAATTAGCTTTGCCAATCCACGTTGATGATATCATGATACTATGCCTTTCAATCTCGAAAAAATCCAAAATTAGGATTTAGGAACAAAGCTGATTTTTGCTGACGTACAATGAATAGTGAGTGTGGTGTTAGATCGCATTCTTTCACTGTTTGTAAATCTTAATCGCTTTATCATTGTTACAAGGTGTTTTCCCGATCCATCTAGACAACATAGTAACCTTATAACACTGCACTCTAGAACTCTAACTATAACCACAAACCGGCCGTCCTACGCACGTGTAGTACTACGCCCCCATTTGCGCTGTTAGCTAGTTGGTATATACTACAAGCTCGCTCCAAATTCCATAACTACCACCATAACTACCACCCCAAATGTGAGGTTACTTTCTTTTTTGGAAAGAAAGATCAGTGCTGCTCGAGAGCTCCTCTCCTGCTCAGAGAGCTCCTCTCATTTAACATCCCTCCTCCGGACATGTTATCATGTTTGTAATTCCTTTCTAAAGCCCCGTGATTTGATTACACACAGTCAATATTCGATTCATTTAAAAGCAAAATTTCTAGAGATAGATCTGGAAAACACCTTGCATCTCTAAAGTGCCTGTTTCTTTCTTAATGTTATGTTACCGTTAATATATATATATATATATATGTGTATTGATCGATTACCCAGTATGTGTTATCTTCCTATCGTCTCTTGCCTTGTTGCATAATAAGGATAACCACATATTTTACCGATTACATTTTCTCCCTTTGGTATGAGAGATATACGTATATAACTTATAACTCTGCGCAAAAGTAAAAACAATTTACAACTGCACTGGGATTACATGCCATTTTTCTCTCTCGATAATATATTTCAAATTCAATAAACTATTTCCCTAGTTATTTAGAGTGTGACACACCGGACTAATCCTGCATTCCACGCAGCCAGCTCGATTGTGTTACACAAAATTACATCGGCCTATCGAACAACCCCGATAGGCACTAAACATGGTGTACAGCTTGTGATTGTTACAGGGCGAAACTATTAATCTACGTGATGCTTTAATGTCGCCAATACGATGTGTTACGTCCAATATTTGTGAAACCAACAACATATCATTAGCTGTAGTGGTGTTAAATTCGCCGGTAGATCGCGGCAACTATGACACGGAAATTGGCCATCCTTTTCCTTTCCTGAATTGAAGATATTCCCCTAGACTGGGGATGTGAGTGAATGAAAATCAAATTAAACTTTTAAAATTAACCCAGATGAAACCTAAAATCGAATCTCTTATAAAAAATATACCTTTAGTCAATTCAGGTCCACAGTTTGATTCAAATCACCATTCCTAGAGGCACCTACAATCTACATGCGCTTCTCCATGGTTCTGCTTCTGTGCTTCATTTGGTAGGTGGTGGTTGATAGCCATTAATCAGGCGAGGATTTTCAGGTCATAGCTTCCCACTTCCCAGCTTCTTTTAATGTTTACAATTAGAGTTTAAAATTGGAGTTAAAATACATATTAGTATTAAACGGTCTGCAAAGCCAACAGTAATTTACGTGCTATATCAATACTAATAGTAATACCTAGTAATACTAATAATACAGAATACCTAGTGTAGATCTACTGTTTAACTGTGAAATAGATACACCAAGGCTGGCAGTTCAAGTTATATTGTTCTATATGGTCTGCAAAGTAAGTGTAAAAATAGCTCTGACCTGGCTGTATGTTGACAAGACAGTGAAGGTTGATGAACTGCAGTTTATATGAAAAATGTGGGGCTATCAGTTTCCCCTAATAGTGTTCCGAAGGAGTGCCAGTATTTGTGGTTCTGCAATGTAGCACAGCATGCCGACCATATTTAACTTTTAAAGCTCTGGTCAGTCTTTTGTGGCTTACGTAGTTTCCTTGTACCAGAGAATCGGGAATTTATCCGTGCAATCAGGAAGTGTACCAATGTGGGGAACCCTAAGAGTGAACTGTGAGATATTAGAGGGGAACCCTAAGAGTGAACTGTGAGATATTAGAGGGGAACCCTAAGAGTGAACTGTGAGATATTAGAGGGGAACCCTAAGAGTGAACTGTGAGATATTAGAGGGAACCCTAAGAGTGAACTGTGAGATATTAGAGGGGAACCCTAAGAGTGAACTGTGAGATATTAGAGGGGAACCCTAAGAGTGAACTGTGAGATATTAGAGGGGAACCCTAAGAGTGAACTGTGAGATATTAGAGGGGAACCCTAAGAGTGAACTGTGAGATATTAGAGGGGAACCCTAAGAGTGAACTGTGCGATATTAGAAGGGAACCCTAAGAGTGAACTGTGAGATATTAGAGGGGAACCCTAAGAGTGAACTGTGAGATATTAGAGGGGAACCCTAAGAGTGAACTGTGAGATATTAGTGGGGAACCCTAAGAGTGAACTGTGAGATATTAGAGGGGAACCCTAAGAGTGAACTGTGAGATATTAGAAGGGAACCCTAAGAGTGAACTGTGAGATATTAGAGGGGAACCCTAAGAGTGAACTGTGAGATATTAGAAGGGAACCCTAAGAGTGAACTGTGAGATATTAGAGGGGAACCCTAAGAGTGAACTGTGAGATATTAGAGGGGAACCCTAAGAGTGAACTGTGAGATAATTGAGGGTAACCCTAAGAGTGAACTGTGAGATATTAGAGGGGAACCCTAAGAGTGAACTGTGAGATATTAGTGGGGAACCCTAAGAGTGAACTGTGAGATATTAGAGGGGAACCCTAAGAGTGAACTGTGAGATATTAGAGGGAACCCTAAGAGTGAACTGTGAGATATTAGAGGGGAACCCTAAGAGTGAACTGTGAGATATTAGTGGGGAACCCTAAGAGTGAACTGTGAGATATTAGTGGGGAACCCTAAGAGTGAACTGTGAGATATTAGAAGGGAACCCTAAGAGTGAACTGTGAGATATTAGAGGGGAACCCTAAGAGTGAACTGTGAGATATTAGTGGGGAACCCTAAGAGTGAACTGTGAGATATTAGTGGGGAACCCTAAGAGTGAACTGTGAGATATTAGTGGGGAACCCTAAGAGTGAACTGTGAGATTTTTAGAGGGAACTACTAGCACTACTACTAAGAGTGAACTGGTAATTGGATTTCTGGGCTTCTGCCGTTAAAAGTTTTAAGGAAACCTTTCCAACTAGAACTATCTTGTTCAATTCACAACTATAACTAGACTGTCCACTTTCCAACTAAACTGAACCAGTTTTGCCATTTCCAATATTTGGAAACCTTCCCAACTAAAGCTGTCCTGTCCAATTCCCAACTAAAACTCTCATGTCCATTACTCAACTAAACCTAAAACTAGGTCCGTCCTGGCTCCTGTCTTATGACAGACGGATGCTAATGACACATTAAATGCAGCTAGGAGGTGTCATTATAATTGTATAACTGCTTAATCTCGCCAAATCATCCTCTGAAGTTCAAACAGAAGATGAATTGAGGTGACCGTGTGTTGTTTCCAACTCGACGGGTCAATGTCACGTAGCAGATAAAGTGACAGGTAGTTCATTTCAACTTCTGTAGTTCAACTTATAATTACTAGGCCTACATCTTTGTTAGGACGAATAAATGAATTACAATTACAATATAAAGAGCCTTTAACTCATATGTAATAAAACATGAAGTCACCAGTTATACGCCGAATAAATTGCATTATCTAGCTCATAAAAAAGAAGAGCATTGTTGAGTTGGAGTGTTTGAAAAGACCTCGAGGTTGCCTTGAAAGAAACATTTAAACTGTGTCTCTGTAGTATGAGGTGGTGTATGCGAGTTAAGAGAGAGCCCAATAATTGATTTACCTCCGGCCCAATGCCACAATTTAAGTTCCTTCCTCCCTCCAAATTGTATTAAACGCGGCTCGCTTCAGTTCTCCGATACCTCTGCATAAATTTCCTTCTTGAGAAATGATTTTTTAAATTTTCCCTTCCGTGCATATGACTAAGGAAACATCTAATAAAATACACATCTAATAAAATACACATAACATGTAAGTGGATATTGAAAAGAATGCCGACTACAAGCTGCTTGATACGGTGTGTTTTGATCTCTCTCTCTCTCTGATTGGGATACGGAGCAGTTAGTTGAAGGTCGCTAATCAGTGAATAGTGCACGTTCCTCTTATCTGGAATGGAGATCACGCGATACAGGCGCAGTAATTGAAATAGCCGACATGGACATTAACTTCCTCCACTAATCAACTAGGATATTACAACTTCCTGCAATAATCAAAG